AAAACTCTTTTTTTTTCGAACAAAAGTTTCTAGAGAAATTCTCTAGGTCAGCAGGTAGTAGTAATAGGACCACTGACTGCTTTGTTTGAAAAACCCGATGAAGTGGATGATTTTATACCCAAAAGGTTTTCTTTAACAAAGCAGATGCGGTCCAAATGGCTTTCCTGAGAAGCGTTTGTATTTGAATAGCTAGAACCTTGAGTTGGAAGACTTATTGCTCCCAAAGCAATCAGTCAGACAGCAATAAAATTTGTTATAGATATTTCTCTCTCTCTGTGAGTTCTTGAAATCTTGGAATGGGTGAAAGTTTATTTTGTTTTACATATATAAGGAAACTGCATGTAAAGCAAAATAATTCAAGGCACCTATTGTATGTTAATCATTGTACGTCCCCTCAGCTCTTCGGTTGGGTATTAAGAAAAGAAATTCCTATACTGCTTTTGTATTACTTGTATAGTGAAAGATTTGAAAAAAATAGCTTCATATGAAAAGTTTTTCTCTGATGAACGAATACAGCTGAAACATGTTTCTGTCTTCAAGTATATTCACAAAACATGAAATAGTATTTTATTCTTTTGTGTTGTATTGCATTTTTATGTTACTTCGTGGTAAATTTTTTGATTCTTAAATTTCCTCTCTCTCTTTCTTATAATACACAAGTACTCTTTCAAATATGGCTGACCTATGAACCTAAATTTTTTATACTATAAAATTTTATATAAAAATTAGCCGTAATCATTAGACACAGCTTTGTGTTATATATTCTTGAATACATGCCTGCAATTAATACTAAGAATACTACTGATACAATTCATGATATAATTAATAATGAAAATACTGTTTAAGCTAAAAACCGATTTGAATCTTTTTTTCATTATAGGGTAACATAAGCCAAACAATTTTCGTTAGAAATATACAATTATGCTAATTTGACACATCAGATAGAAAATATTTTATCGTCATCATTGGCTATGATAAAAATTTTTTACGCTCAAGATTTTGGATTATGATAAAGCACACAGGACCTATTTGTCTAAGAGAAAGGAAGTCTTCATGGTAGATTTTTTTTTTTTTTTTGTGTGTGTGTGGGAAACAAACTGTTAATTCACAATCAATTGTACTTGTGAAAAACCCCTAAAACTCCCATGCAGCCGCTAGAATTTACAGATGCTCAGCTATCTTACCGCTTGGAGACTAGTTGGCTTTCTGAATTTACGCAATATCTATCTTAATTTGAATATCTGCGTAAAAAACGAGCAAAATAAAATGACATTGTAAATAGTTCATTTTACTGAAATCAAACTTTCTTTAAAAAAGGAAAATTAATTGTAAGGAATAAGATGGATGCATTTAATTAAACGGCGGGCAATAACAGCGCTGATCATATGTTTCGTATGGGAAATAATTTTCTTTGTGTTATCGTATAACGGAAAATATCCACGGATTATATTTTACAGTTTTTAAGAAGTCATGGGTTATCTGCTTTAAGAGAACACCTTCGTGGGTAATTTTCTAAATAAAATTGGCTTGAATTCACGTTACGCATCGAGAAAATCATAAAGACCAAAAGCAGCTAAACTGTTCGGTTGCCAACAACAAACTACCAACATCCAGCAATCTTATTCACTCAACTATAGTGAACTTAAATTAATGTTTGTATATTATTAGTAGTATTAAAATAACGAAAATATTTATTCTAATAAAAATTTTTGTTTGAATATCCTCCCTAGTAAGGTATTTCCTTTGGTTAGAGATTTGTCAATAATAAATGCTATGTTCAGACAAGACATTTATTTAGAGCATAATGCTTCAAAAATGTATGCTGGGATCCCTAGAAAAAAAATATCGCCGGAAAATACATCTCCGAAAAAATATTTAATTATTCATATTCTTATGATTAATTATTAAATAATTAATAGCTTTTATAATTATTAAATGCAATGCTTATTTATATTTTACCAAATGTACAGCAACACTCTTTCTTTACAAAAATACCATACTGAATAAATTATATTGTAAGCTAATAAGTAACAACATTGCTTTGTTTAATTAAGATACAATAACAAGCCGAACAAACATTAAATTGGAAGTCAAACAACAAAAATCACCGTTATATTTTTCAAATTTTCAATCTAATTTTCATTATATCTTATCTCGTTCATTTGTGCTTTTGCAGCTGAGGATGATGGTTCGGAAAAAGCATCGAAACTAATCCTGTGAAAATTTGAAAATATAACGCTGATTTTTCCAAATTAATTGCTTTGTTTGTTACTAATATGTCTCATCTTTTCCTATTTCAGATAAAGTTTACTAGTGTTTTCTTGGACAGGAAAGCAAGAATTTTTTAATTTGAATCAATAAATTTATGATATACTGAAAACGGTTTCAAGTTATAATTCCCTTTCTGAATATCTTGAATGTATATAAAAAAGTAAAATGCAAATTTAATATTAATATTATCACCCTTAAAAAAACACCCAAATGTTTTGTTTATTACTCTTAAAACTACGTAATAATTAAGGCAAAAAGAAATTATTTAAAAATAATTATTATTTGCATGCAGTTGAAGAATATAGGAAAATGCTGAAAGTTTTTTAAGAAAGATTTTTAATTCCAAAAAATACAGAAAATCGGAAATAATAAGAAATTTTTCAGCAATATCTCAGAAGGAATGAAGTTGCATCAGATATTTGTCAGAATAGAATTTTAGTGATAGCAGTTTAATCAGTCTGCATGCAATGAAATTCCAGTGATAATCAGTGACATACAGATTTAGGTTACTTAGGTTAAAAATGTGTAATAATTAAAAATTTAACCGGGTAAATTTTAAAACCAATTTATTTGAAAACTAGCAGCTTCGCTGCCAGCCTTCGTCTGGCTTTTAAATGTACTGGAAAAATTGCTGAAGGGAACACCAAACGTTAAATTTAAAAACTGCGTAGAATTTTACTCTGCAGAACAACTTCATAAAAAAAGTTATTACGTATAACAAAATAACAATGAAATAAGCAATATCCCTTAATACAAATATTAATTATCCTTATAAATAAATTAACCAACTTTCCTTTACAAAATCTTAACAACTCAAATGATACCATTTGGAGGAGGTACCAAAGGATATAATGATACCAAAGGAGGTTAAGAACTTTGTTTCCTAAAAAAATCAGTCAAAACTTTTCAATATCTTAAAAACAGTAAAATGAGTAATAAATAAAATAAAGGAATGCAAAAAAACAAAAAATTCTGAAAAGCAAAGTATAATTAATGATATTTTATCTTATATTTTCAAGGGAAAAAATTACAATGAAATAAGCTATATCTCTTAATACAAATATTAATTATCCTAATTTAAAAAATTAACCAACTTTCCGTTAAAGAAAAAAATGATGCAAAACTTTTCAATATCTTATAAACAGTGAAATAAGCAAAAAAAAAAAATAACATGAAAGCAACTCAAAAAACATAAAATTCCGCGCAGAATTTTACTCTGCAGAACAACTTATCAAAAAAAAAAAAAAAAAAAAAAAATCAATAAAAATGTATTATATTATATCAAAATGACAATGAAATATGCCAATCTCTTAAAACAGTGACATAAGAAATACAATGAAAAATTGTTGCCAAACATCATTTCTAAAAGAATGAAACTATTCAAAATGATGCGATTTCATCAAAATCTATCAACAACAATAAGACAGGAAAATTGTTGCCAAAATCACATTTTTAAAGATGTGAGAAGTGTACTCGAAAGCTTCATTTAAAAAAATCTTTTAAAAATACAAAATATTATCATTTTCCCAAAATTCTTTTTGTGAAAGCATTCGCAAGGACGAAAGTTTAACGTGTCCGAAAATCAAAGAAAAATAAACTGTACATTTTTAAAAATAATTTTCTTTAGAAAAAATCCCATTGAAAAAATGTTAAGCTCTCTTTTGTTAAATAAATTCATATTTAATCGATTTATTGAAACACGAAATTTATTTTAAGTTCGTAAAATAGCTAAGTGCCTACGTTTCATGACGATGTGAAAATGGAGTGTGTAGAGTAAAATCTCGCTTTCCTATAGCCCATATTGTCTATATGAGACAACTTTATTTTGATATTTTGTCCTTAGAACTTTGTTAATCACTCACCATGAAATCAGATAAGTTTTCTATACAACTGATGTACTATTCATTATATTGAATTATTTACAATATTTTTGCAAATACATTAGAGAATTTTATAAAACAAAATCATAATCAAAATCGCTATTGTAAGTTGAAAAAAAAAAAAAAAAAAAAAAAAAAAAAAAAAAAAAAAAAAAAAAAAAATCCATGATGTGATTGTGTAAATGCCAGTAAACTATAGAAACTGCAATTATCCACTCAACAGAGAATGTTTCTTTTATGTAAAAGTGTCCCCACTTTTCAATTAGCAAAACACTATCAAGGTTCTGTATGTAAACAAAACACACAACCTTTGGCTACCAAAGCTCGGCAGCACTGCAACAGGCACTGCGTGGACATGGCGTTCACCCAACAGAGAATGTTTCTTTTATGCGAAAGTGTGCCCACTTTTCAATTAGCAAACCACTATCAAGGTTCTGTATGTAAACAAAACAGACACCCTTTAGCTACCAAAGCTCGGCAGCACTGCATGGACATGGCGTCTTCTTTTATTCTTACCTTAAAATTAAAATTTCAAACTTTAAAAGCAAGTAATTTGGTCACTTTTTATCACATGGGAGTCAAATATTTTGTATTTTATTTTTTAAAATGAATATAAAACTTTTACAAAATATAATCAACTGCTCATGGAAACCACATAAAAATTAAATTTTGTAACATTTACAAAGTTTACTATCTATCTATTTAACAGTACCAAATCATTAATATCTACATCATTTAAAATATTTTTGTAACTGATGTCAGCGACCAATGGGCATGAAAATAAAGGCTGCATGAGGACTTTTTTGGAAACAGTGCATATTACATCAAAATAAAACACATTATTGAAAACTGTAGTATATTTTTTAATGTAAATGTAAAAAGATGACACTTATCTACTCACCATTTTTTTCATGAATTTGTACTAGAGATTTAAAAGATTGCTGTGCTCTTGCTAAACTGTACTGGCTCTAAAATGGAAAATGGAAAAATCGAAAACAAATCTGATTAAAAACAATTTATGACAGTGAGAGCAGATTCAAAAACATTTTTTTTATCCACCATAACCAGCATACTTAATCAGATAAAAAATCTTTTGCAATTATGTGAACTAATATATAAAATATCGTACATACAGATGAAGAGAAACAGTCAAAATTTTTGTCATAGAAAATTAAGTAGCATCATTATGACGATCATTATGACTATTAAGTAGCATCATTATAACTATTGACTTATCATAAATCAATGCAAGTTATGATCACAACATAATTTAAAAATCCAAGAGCACCAGAAGCAAGGTAAATATGACCCCTGAAACTAGTAAGTCATGAGCTTTTTGACACATTGATTTCCCCTTAAATTGCCGTGTATCAATACGACACACGCCTATAAGGTGGGTGGCTATCGCTCACAAATACAGCAACAGCCATTATCATGGGAAAATATGGGCACATGACCTACCAAACTGGACATGATCATGAACTATGGAGTCATTTAAGAAAGTGCTTATGTATGGAAGAGTGAAGATGAATTACCAGTTTCAGTAATCATACTTACCTTGTTTCTGGGGTTCCTGGATTTTAAAATTATGCAATTTACATACTTTAGTTATTCACAATGGTTTTACAAGCAGTTATGATATATTTCTTTAAACTGCAGTAAGCTAAATTTATATAAATCATAAAGTGGCTGCACTTTTCTCCATTGAGATTAATATAATTGCAAATATTAAATAGATAATTTATCTAGCATAGGCAGTTCTTCAGCAAATCTATTATGCAATCACATATAAGAAACCCTAGATTGCAGTTCAGATATAATTAGTTGTTCGACTGTTTACAAAATGGCTAAAATAATTTTTGAGCGATTTAAAATGGTCGACAGTTGATAAGAGATATGGTGGTTTCATCATCACAGAAATTCTTATTCTTAAGAATGTGCTTTTACTACTTCAAAGTTGTGTTGCTTGACCAATACTGGAGATGCTGGCACTTAATTTTGAAATATTTTTAAAGTCAATTCCTGACATAGTCAGAAAATAATAATAAAAAATTTATTCATGGTGCTGTAATGTCCACTAAAAGACTAATACATCATTGTGTAAAAATACATGCTAGAAAAATACCAAAATATAACAAATCTGCACCGTGAAAAAATTTCTTCATTTGTGATATAAATATAAAATTTTATTAACAATTTCTTTGAGTGAGCAAGCACCAAAAGCTATCAAGCTATAAAGAGGAATATCAGTATAAAATTTATAAAATGAATAAAATAAATCAAGCTATGAATATGCACTTCAAATTTTTTGAGAATCCGATTTTTAAGTCAAACACTTAATATCAATGCTCAGTTTTCTGTAAATTTTCAGTTCAAGAACAAAAAATTGGTAATAATCTCTTCTGAAAACACAATTCAAAAGAAAAATGCTTTCAAGCGTTTAAATCTTGAGTTATGTTTTCATGAATTTTTACAGTTTACATTTATTTAATGATTATGTTTCCTCTAGCACAGTGATTCCCAAAACGTTTTAGCACTGCAACTTAATCGTGATTTATTGAGACCCACAGCCATAAAAGTTGTTCTCAAGAAAAGAATGAGAAACACAATATACCTAAGGGGGAAAAAAAAAAACTGCTGGTTATCATAAATTAAGGAAAAATCACAAAAATAGCGATAACTCTCTCAAAAATAAGCCAAACCGTGTAAAATTTGAATATGTTGCAGAGCACCTAAGTAAAACTGCGATATGCAAAATAAGTGCTGCTTTCAGAATACGTCATCTGCGAGGAGCATAAAGGTCCATGTTTGAGAGGAAGCCCACATATTTCACTGTGACAGTGATATCAGAAATCTGAGATATCCAATTCGTAACAATGACCTCCAGGCATCATTTGCCTGCAGAACTGTCATGGAAAGCCATTGGGAAACTAGAGGCAAGACAAAGTGAAACAGAAGTAGCCAGATGGCTAAATGTGAGTCCTTCTGTGGTTCATAGACTTGGAGACAATTTCAAACCACAGATTCGGCAGCTAGAAGGTTCAACCAAGGACGGCCAACTACTACGACGAGCGCCGATGACCGATATTTGACATTATGTGCACGCAGGAATAGAACCGCTACTCCGACTCTTCTTAGATCCTCCCTTGCTGCAGCCACCGGAAGGTTCGTGTCAACGTCAACTGTGCATGTCATCACTAAGGTGGGTGTTCACTAAGGGTGGTCTGTATGCGAGGCAACCAGCCATTTGTGTGCCACTCACGTCACGCCATTGGAGGGACCGTTGGAAACGGTCGTGCCCGCGAGAAAAAGAAAAAAAAATTCTTTTTCTCATGATCTTTCAAAGAATTTACAAGTTCCCTGGTTTGATTTCCAATTATAAGATCATTGTCATCCTTTTGATTTGCCAAACTATTATAGGCAACACAAATCAACACACTGTTTTTTACAACGGACGGTTTTACAAACTTAGTATAAAGTTCTTTCAAAAGATCATTAAGAATTTGGAAAAGGTATACGCGTTATTTGATATGGAGAGAATCTAGACCCGTTATCATCCGTCAAACATCCATGAAAGAGATGCATACGGAAGGGGAAGTGTCTGTATTTGGGGTGGACGCACAGACCTCCATGTCTTTCCAAGGGAAACCGTGAATGCTCAGATTTATAGAGATGACATTTTTTATGTTCATGTGCGCCCAAGAGGTGATGCTTTCCCGTTACAGGACGACAACGCAAGACCACACAGGGCTTGCATCGTAGATGATTATCTTAAACAGGAAACAATTATGCGCATGGAGTGGCCAGCTCAATCCCCGGACTTGAATCCTATCGAGCACGTTTGGGATGCTTTAGGGAGATGTCTAGCTGCTCTCAATCCGCCCCCTCAGACCCTTGCAGCGCTTGCAGCTGCTCTGCAAGAGCAATGGCTCTCGCTTCCTATGGAACTGATAGACCGCATAATTGAAAGCATCACACATCGCTGTATTGCTTCTAGAGGCAATCATATTCCATATTGAAGGTACTTTTCCTATAACAAACTGACACCTTCGATTTGTTCATTTTATACATGTGCTAGAATGTACATGTGCTAATTTCTATACTACCATATTTGTCTGGTAATTCTTTTTAATGTTATTTGATACCTTACTATGTGTTGTATATTGTGGGTAAGTTTCATTAAATTCTACATGTAACTTTTTCAGTAACTGTGATTTTTCCTTAATTTATGATAACCAGTGTAGTAATAATGGACCTAATAAAGAAGTATGTATAACAATTAAGAAGTAATTACAGACTTAAGTTATACATATTTATTTATTAAATGTTGTTAAATAATTTTAAATATTATAAAATAAAATAAAAAAAAAAAAAAAAACTTCAAAGCTTTTTTTTGATCTAACAAAGATTTTTCATGGCCCACTCATGATACACATTTTGGGAACCACTGCTCTAGTGGTTTAGCTACAGAACAAAATTTTCTTTATTACTATGAAATACACTTCCTATATTTTTTGATGATTTATTAGTAGTTATGCAACTTTTTAAAAAATATCCATCGAATATGGCTCAAAAATAATATATCTGTTTTTTAATGCTAGAAAAATTATATATATTAATACATCTTCTAGCTATCTTGACCTTTTGCATACCTGCCAACCTCTAAAGATAAAAATTCAGAAGATTTCTCCCCCAAATTCAGAAGAACACGAAGAATTAATATCATGCTTTGATATTAAAAAAAATAACAATTTATACAAATAGAAAAAAGAAAATTGCATTTACATTAGTAAATCTCAATTAAGTAGTAACTAAAAAAAATATTGCAATGAATTTAGAGTGCATTTTTTGGCTTTAGCCAAAAATTCTTTGGAAAATTTCCTGTCGTAACAATTAGTTTCCTCATAACATTTAGCAATTAAAATGTTTTCTAGAGTTTTTGGTGAAACTGAAGAACGAAACATAGTTTTGTTTTTCTTCACAACACTGAAGACTCTCTCGCACTCAGCATTACTGTGTGGAATTACGAGAATAGTACATAAAACTCTTGCTAGTCTATCATATTTTGGTGTTCCATCAGCTCTTTTTATTCTTTTTAAGGTACCAACGAGGACATCAAGTCTATCTTTTTCCAGAACTGGCAAGTCTTCAAACTGTGCAGCAGAAAATTGGTTCTGTAGTTCATCTAAAGCATCATCATGGCATTCATTTTCTTTAATTGTTAACAAAAATGGAAATTTATCAATAAAAAAACGAATCTTTTCAAAAGATGAATTTTCAATTTGTTTCAAATTTGCCACTTCAGCATTTAAAAGAACTTCATTTTGCAAAGGAAACTTCCTTACAATGTAATCACAGGCTCGGGAAAAGTACTTTCTAACACATTGAAAAAATTCTTTTTCTCATGATCTTTCAAAGAATTTACAAGTTCCCTGGTTTGATTTCCAATTATAAGATCATTGTCATCCTTTTGATTTGCCAAACTATTATAGGCAACACAAATCAACACACTGTTTTTTACAACGGACGGTTTTACAAACTTAGTATAAAGTTCTTTCAAAAGATCATTAAGAATTTGGAAAAGCAGGGGAGATTTTGGCAAAGCTGATTGTAGAAGGGTATTTACACTTTCAAAAATCTTAATGGTACTTAACACAAAACTACAATATGCTTTGTTCAAATCCGAAGAAAGAAGATAGAAAATCCTTTCCTCTCGGCTAATAGAAGACTGTTTCTTCTTCCCTTCAACTTCTTTAACAAAGTTGACCTTTGAGGAGTCTTCTAAGCATTTTCTTTTTAAAGGGCTTGATTCTGTGTGTTGGCTTTTCCCTTTTAAAGCATTTTGATTAGAAGCAAAGTTGGTTTTCGGAATCTTATATGCCAACAAATTTGATGGGATCTGTGGTTTCGTTTTGGTCTCTTCGTGGCAATATTTTAGCAATGCATCCCACTGTTCAATAAACCTTCCTAGCGCTCTGCCTAAGGATAACCATCTTGTGCATACATGTTTCAGAATTTTTCTCGTTTCACCAGAGCACAGTTCTTGGAAATTCTTTAGGTTTTCTTTCCTTTTTACACTTTTTTCCAGATAGAAAAGCACATCAATCAGAAGCTGGTCAATATTTAATGGTAAAGCAGCTGCAGCTTTTTCTGCTGCCAAATTAATTAAGTGGCATGGGCATCCAATAACATTTAATTCATTTTGTTCTTTTTTGAGGAAAAAGGCTACACAGGTTTTTGTCACCCACCATGACATGAGCATTATCTGCACCAAATGAAATGCAGTTTGATATTGGGATGTTAAGTTGTTTCAACTCATTAATTACCAAGGAGGCAATATTTCTCCCCGTAGCATCTCCATTTAACAATAGAAGATGCAAAAGACGAGTTTTCATTTCATTAGAAGCATCACAGAAATATGTGACAACGATGGGGTTAAGCTTCCAATTGCTGTCGTTGCTGCCATCGATTGACACCGAAGATGCTGAATTCTGGAGTGCAGCTATCGTTTTACTTTGTGCATCGCAAGCAATTTCGTTCACAATAGAAGATGTTTTTGTGCGAGCACAAGTATATTTCTGACCAATCTTGGAGTCGGGAAACATCCGTCTGAAAAGTTGACCGGCGTGATCGGCAGCGCTTAGCGGCACGTTGTGTTCGATGAGGAATGCAGTAAACAAACACTCTGCCAAAATGACATCGGCATCTGAATTCGTAGCCAAATTTGAAAAAAAAATCACCCACTTTCTTTGACGTTGTCAAAGCCTAAGCATTAACTTCATGCTTTTTAGACTTAACATGCTTCACAATGTCGCTTCTTCCACGTGACTTATTATGAAGTCACACACGCACATGTTGCAAAATGCATAGTTATTTCCTTTGAAGGATTCTTTAATTGTTGGAAATTCGGCTTTGTAGGCAGGCCGAAAATATTGAGAATACGGTTTTTTTGAACTCATTTCATAACAACGACGTATTAAGAAAATTCGTAGCACGTGGGGAAAAAAAAAAAAAAAAATAGAATGCGACAATCCACGCTTACTGAGTTATTACCTTGCTGCTGAAGCGAACGCAAAAAAAATAATCTGGCGCCCACAAAGAAAAGAGTGGGAGAAACAAGTTCAGCGCATTGGATTGGCTGGTTAAGCAGCGAGTTGGAAGAAACCGCAGGTTACTGGATTCGAAGTAGTCGGTAGTTGGCGGTAAAACACGATGCAATTGCCGATAATCGCTGAATTGGCGAAAAATTCTAAAATTTTGACAAAAATCACTAAAAACACTTGAAAAAGGAAAAAATCGTAAAAAATGGATTACGATCGTAAAATTGTAAAGACAAACGCATTTTCGTAAAAATTACGAAAAATTCGTAAAAGATGGCAGGTATGCTTTTGTCTACTAAATCATTGGCATTTTAAAACAAATGAAGTTTGAGAAAACAAAGTTCTCTAATTCTAAAAAATGCACACGCTAATCTGAATTTAATAACATGTATAAGCAAATAGAAAGAACTTGTCCCATCTCTTTGCAAGAATACATTAGTAATTACTTTGCTGTTATGACTTTCTCTTAATCTAGCCATTGGCATATGAAGTTCAATAATTCATTTGTCATTTTACTTCAAGAATTGAGCTTTGAGATTTAACCAACTGAGGATTTAAATCAATACAAGAAAATATGTGAAGAGGGAAGGTTTCACACTCTTAAAACATTTAATGAAAACTTATTATTTATTGGCAAGAGATCTTGAAATGACCATTGCTAATAATATTGAAAGCTTTTCTTTTACATTTAAGCTCTGTGAAAACTTCTAAAATGCTAACGTATTAGCAGAATTCCTTCTTGGTCAACCTGTGCATAGATAAATTTTAACCAAAATGCCAAATCTGAGGGAAAAAAAAAAAAAAAAAAAAACACCCTCAGATAATCTAAAACCTCGTGAATATTTATTAAATTTGATCAGCAGAAACTCTGGCTCCTTTTTCCTTTTTTTAAACAGAATGCAGCGATAATCATAATGTTATTACGAGAATTACCCCATCACTTTGGTCATTAATACGTTTAAGAGTATGTGAATAACTAAGGACAATGCCTTATATATTTAGGATGATCTTAATTTTTTACTTGAGTACAAAGCCCTAAGACTCCTCTTAGGAAGGAAAAAAAAAAAAAAAAAAAAAGAGAGAGAGAGAGAGAGAGAAAGAATTTAATACGATCAAGGTTTTAAATAACAATATCCCACATTTAAAAATTAACCATAATTTAGAGAAATTCTATAATTCATAAGGTTTTATGATGGAATCTAGTGTATGAATTAACTTTTAAACATTTCTGTGAATGCAAATTTAAAATATATAGAGAGAGAGATAGATAGATTAAACCAATAAACTAAAAAAAAATTAAAAAATATAGTTTTGTCACTTTCTTCAGCTGCTATATTAAATTTATTAAAACACACAGAAGACATGGTGTTGTTAAAATATGCTTATTATTATTCATCCTATTATTCTATTTTCTGACATGTGTGAAAAATTTCTCACAGTTAATAACACTGAGAAAAACTTTATTTAGAATAAATGTTTCCCTTTTTCTGGATTACTTTCAGTTAAAAAAAACTACATGCTACTTCATCATCAGATGTCCGACATTTTATACTACAACTGACTAATTAAATGCAAGATTAATCTGTCATTTCATTTTTCAATGATTTATCACCATTTTAAATATATCATTCTTAAGAACATTCTTTAGTCATAAATCAATGTACTGATACAATGATACAATGCATCTTTTTAATCCTTTTGCCATACGAAAAAAAATTATCATAAAACTTTTAATATATATATATATATATATATAAAACAAACAAACAACATATACACAAAAAAAAAAAAAAAAGTTGCAAATTTCATTTAACATGAAAATTACTCTATTTCCTCCAAATTGTATGCGAGCTTTGCCTTTAACCAAAGTTGCAGCAATCTGAAGAATAATAGCTTCAACAGTGTAGGCACTACTCCAACCCTATAAAATTAGAAAGAAACTTTAAAAGCATAATTTTTTTCACATTATTAAAAAAAATTATACATATACAGTCAAAAGTCGTTAATCCGGACTCGTCGGGCGATTCCGGATTATAGATCATCAGTTTAAATCTCGTAAGATGGCATGCAGAAATTCTAAAATTAAAAATTTGAAACTGTAATTTATGAAATAAAGAACAATTATGATCTAAAGGGTATCAAAATTTACAAAAAAAAGCTTAATATTTTTTTGTTTACTTTATTAAACATTTCTTTCAATGTAAGTTGTTTAAGTTGCTTCGTTTCATGTGATAATACTTTCTCTTTAATTCTATTAAACAGACATAATTTCTTGTTTAGTTACAAAGTTCCACTGTTCAAGTCCTATAATTGCTGTGTCGTGAATACCGACTAACTTGTCAATCGAAATTTTTTCGTTTTCAATAACCTCTGTCATTTTCTTCACTATCGGAAGCGAATTATAATGACGAGGAACTTGTTTTAAATCATATCAAAGTCGGAGCGCATCGAGATGAAATACTACATTTGATAAGGAATTATAAGCCAAATAAAATAAAAACATCTGCCCTGAAGATAAGGATAGTGCTGACAGATCAACTTCCAATTCATTGCGCGCCGCGGCATTCCCCCTGCCGAGCAGCATGAAATTGATAAACAGATTTCGGATTTTGAAACATACTTTCGCTTTAGATCCTTTACATGTTAACAAAATATATATCGGGAATTCTATTTGATATAATCGAAAGTTTAAGCTTACTTTTATAAAATTGCTCTAACAGTCTGCAAAAATAATAAGCCAAATCTAATTCAAAGATTAAGGAACAACGCAATCTGCAACATTAACTGAATTAGATAATTTTAGCTTAGCTTACACCGTCCGTTATGCATTAAACGTGCATGTGTAAACGTTTTATGAGCATGCGCACAAGCATATTCGCAGCCGTAAAGGTCTTACGCGCGCACGTAAACACCTATGCGCATGTGTCAACAAGACGCTTGCGCAGAAAGTCTGTAGCTTTGAGGTCTGGATTATGGGTGTCCGAATTAACGACTTTTGACTGTACCTAGCAAACTGCCTGATTAAGATAAAATCTGATTGATAACAGCAAAGAAGAGACAAAAATGAAAAAGAGATTAAAATTAGATAACTGTCAAGCCCTTTTAAGAGTGAAAAATAATTACTTATGCACTATCCATAGCTAATTAGAGCAGTTATATGCATCAGCATATTCTAACTTAGCACAGACTCATATGAATGCCGAGTGCTATGCTGCAGAATTTTTACTACCAGGGAGTCTTTGAAATAGTTTAGCTAGTTCACAAAAATTGCAAACAACTGTAACCACATACTAATTCATTCTCATATGCATTCAACATGAAAAAGACCTCAACACAGGGTTTGTACACATTTCCGCACATGAAAATTAAGTATTTTTAAGGACCATCAATGAAACAATGTAAAAACATATCAGCAAAAATAGGATCTGAATAAAGTAAACCAATTATCTATACCCAAACTTCACTTTTTTAATACCACTTTGTAATTTGTAAGAATAAAATAAATCTGCAAGTAGGATGCATTGTTATTAAACCTAATATAATATTTAACTTAATTATAAAACAATTTCAAGAACAATATCAACTTCATAATTTTTTTCAATTAGCATTAAATTATAAAATTTCTTGAAACATTTATATTTTACACATATAATAATTATCCTACATATTTTAAAGAAGATTAGCGACTTTTTATTTAAATTTTACTAAAAGTTAGCTTTATACGGATTCTTTCTTTTATGTCTCATTCCATCATGTACTCGCTCAGTCAAAAGGTTTATGTAGATTTTAAGTCTAGCATAAGTTAAATTGAGAAGTAAAATAATATCAGCATGACTCATAATAGAAGCTTGATTGTTGCCTCTGGCTGCTTGCTTAGAGACAGAGACCCGCTGATCAGAAGAAATGTAAACATCTGACATTGCACTAGATGTGATAGGTTATTTTGTATTAAGTTTCATTAGTTATAAGGAATAAAGTTTTAATTTTTATATTTTTGTGTTGTATCTTACATCCACAAAGGATTAAGGAAAGGCAATAACTCAAAATGTAGAGATAACTCAGATAGCAAACAAGAAACAGTTACAAATAATTAAATTTTATGTAGTTAGATATACTTAAGTTGTAATAGATTTACATGGTTACAATTACATTTTTTTTATTCCTAAAAAATGTTCATAAAAAGACACTAAGAACATTTTACAGCAGTTATAATTTATTGCATTGATTCTAAAATGATATTCATGTACTTATATAGTAAAAGCTACAAAATGTTTATGTCTTGTAGCAACAACAAATATTAATGCATCTTTTTAATTTGAGAATTTTCCAGATATTTAATTTCCTCTCTTTAGCATCTTTCCTAAATTTATTTATTTCAGCGTCAGTGTAAGCTGAATTTTTAGAATTTAGTGAAGCATCAAGCAGCAAAATCTAGAGATGACAAAATTTTAGAATTTAGGGCAAGCACTGCACTGACATACAAGATGAATCTTTCAATAAAATGTTTCAATTTCTTTTCTTTCTTCAATACTTGTATTTTGCAGAAAGATAAGAAATAAGGGGAAGATTATAAAGACTTCTTCGATCAAAAGAAGAAAATCCATTTTTTTATTGTTCTTTCAGAAATTCTTCAAAAGATAAGAAATTCATCACAAATTTTCTATGAAACACATCCACTATGTGTTAATACCATGAAAGCATTTTTCAGGAACTGTAGGTCTATAAATCTTGTCTTTTAATCCTTCTAAGACTTCCAAGATGCTAGGTTTAAAATCCCTACAAACTCTGGAATAATGAAAAGCTGGATTTGGGGGGTGGGGATCATAAAAGAAAAGTGTAAAGTGAATTCTCAAGAGGCAAGTGATACACATTTTAAATATTTTGACACATTTACATGGGAAAACAACTTTTATAATGAAAAAATATGAAAGAAGGTGAATGATATTAATTTTAAAATAATTACAGTAACTTTATTGTTTTATTCTAAAAAGTGTTTTGTAAACTGTGCTTCAAATTTATAATACTTATTATTTTGTTTATTTTTTTAAATTCAAAACATTTTTAAGTCATAAAAATGAAGAGTAATGTCAGTTTAAAAGAAGGCTGGAGAAATGTTTTATTTTAATATATGTTAAAGTATGTTTATTTTATAATGTTAATATAATATTTCATAAATACAAGGCGATTCTAAATTGTTTTTACAAATTAAGAGGAGTGATAGTACCCATCCAGACAAGCAATAATTGCCATAGCTCGCACTTCACCGTGAGAGGCAGAAAAGAGGAATATTAGAATTCCAGCCTGAACTTACAATAGTGTTGGGAAAGCAAATGAATGAGACCAAAAGTTGTGCAATCAGATTTATTGTTTAGCGGAAAACTCGCAGAAAGTGCTCAAAATGCTGCACACTTCACATCTGTGAACGAATGACTGGATCGCCCTCTCAAAGATTCCTGGTGTCATCTTAATTTTGTCTGCGACAACAATGATTCTCTCCGTAAGATCTTCAGCTTCCATAGGCATCTTGTACACTAAAGATTTCAAGAGCCTCCAGAAGAAAAGTCCAGTGGGTTGAGGTCCGGTGAGCAAGGAGGCCAAGCCACAGGTCCGCCACGCCTGATCCATCGCGCAGGATATTTAACATTCAAAATGTTACTGACCATGACAGAAATATGTGCTGAGGCTCCATCATGCATAAACCAAATGTTTCTCTGGTTGGAAAACACAACCTCCTGCAATAAACTGGGAAGCACTTCTTCCAAGAAGGATATGGTATATTGCACTGGTCAAACGGTTAGGCACGATGCAAGGGCCTACCAGGTAATCACCTAGAATACCTGCCCAGATGTTCACGGAAAATTTCTGCTGCTGTTTATGAGGAGCACTGCAGTGGGGATTGCTATCAGATCAAACGTGTTGATTGTGCCTGAAAATGCCTTCTCTGCTGAATGTTGCCTTATCACTAAATAATAATAATATTAATACAGGAAAATATGCATCGTTATTCCTCATTCCAAGCATACGCTGCACAAAGTCTGCCTGGCAGATTGTGTCCAAAGAATATACTTTTTGCATGTGGTACGGGTGCATGCGTTCCTTGTGTAAAATACATGACACCGCTGCCTGAGAAATACTCATTTCATAAGCCACCGCTCATGTACTTGAATTCACTTGATACAATGTACTTGATTGAACTGCTTCAAATCTAGTCAAAACTCGCTCTTCCCTTTCTTGCGTTTGTGCATTTCGTGAACGTTCTGCATTGCTTTTTGAAATGGCAAAAGAGCCTGTTTCTCGCAGTCTTCAATCAACACTGGAAAAGGTTGGAAACCGCTGTTAGTACAACCTTCATGTCCATTTCCTTTTGCTTCGACGTATGAAGTAAATATCTGCCAACTTCTCGTATGTGTACTCCACCACAGCATTCACAAAAGGTTTCCGACGATGTTATCACGGTAAAGCAATGATATTGTGCCGTTTTCAAGGACACCATTTGCTCTGATTGGCTTTCTCCAATATCAACTAAGAGCAAAATGCTGATGCTTCTCAGTGTTAATTTGCATATCGTTAACTCTTGATAGTCTTAGGAGATAGTTTCCTTGTTCTTCCTCGATGCATTTTATCTTTCCTATCTCTCAGAGTGAAATGCGACACTACATTCTATGGAAATTTTTGCTCGTCTGGATGGGTATTATAAACCTGTATAATATTATTTATAATTTACTTCTTAAACATAATTTTATTATATTATCATTATTTTTATGATATTTATCAAGATTATTATGTTTGTAAAAAAATCGTCCACGAAAAGATTTTGTATACAAACTAATCTGGAAATCGCCCAAATGTTGATAATTGCCAAATTTAATGCCACATAATAAAAGAACATATTTCAAAAAGGAAAAATTTTTTTGATGTAAT